GCCAGCCCAATATTAATTGGCTAATTGTGTTTCCTCTTATGTGAGGAAATGGCCTGTTAATAGCCTCAACCTAGTTTTGTTGGATTGCTTGCCCTCTTCTTAACAACTGGTAGGACCTCTTTATGTTAGGATTATTATCTCCTTGACATGTCTTATGAATATTGCCTCTCAATCTGTGGTTTTCCTAAACTTGTTTAAAGACACTTTTGCCATATTGAGTAATATTTTAAAGGTAGTCTATAAGTAAGAACTTGTCCTACTGGATATTAAATTTTACTAATTAGTCAATGAGAACAATATGATATTGATATAAAAATAGACAACTGTAGCAGAATAGAGTGCCCAGGAGCAGATCCAAGTGTATTAGTGTCTTAAAATACAATGAGGGGGCATTTCAATTAAACTAGGGGAAAGAATGGAATATTTAACTACTTTTTTAGATAATTGACTCTGTATATAAGAAAATAGTCTTCAGGCCTTGTACAAAAATAAATTTCAGACAAATGAATGAATGAACCTGATTAAAAGGTTGGGTTCTTTCCCTTTAAGAGCCTGCAGCAATACCCTCTTCTTATCCCTGTCAAAGATTTATATTACACTGAAATTGCCCATTAATTTGTGTTTCTTCTTCATTAGATTGTAAATACCATGAAGGCAAGAATTATGTCTAATTTATTGTAGTATCTCCATTGCATAAGTGTATTGTTAGCACATAGTAGGTTCTTATATATAAGTATCCGTGGACTTAGTAAATGAATTTGTTTGTCCCTTTCTTGTTCTGTATTCTATTTTCCATTCCCAAGAAAATTGTCTACAGAATAAAATATATTATAGAAAGCTATTCACTTTGGTCTAAACTTGTAGTAGTAATATAGTCGAGGGGCCAGGAGCCTGGGTTAGGATTGTTGGTAGTGGGTAGGGATAGAAGTAGATGGACTTCACAGAGATTTAGTAGGGAGTAGACTCAACAAGACCTTGATGATTTAGTTGAATGTTGTAGTGAACAAAGGAAAAAACATAAAAGAATAACTTAGAGACATTCATTGGGATATGTTATAGAGGAAAAGGGGCTTTTTTCCTAAGTGAGGTTATTGTTTGCCTTTCTGGATGCATTTTTGTCTCCCTAACACTAAAACCCTATTGCACGTGTAGTTCATTTTCAACTCATTGCTTTTCTCTTGAGAATCTTCTTTTGTGTTTTCTGCTTCTTGCTTCTCCCAGTTGCTGAATTCTGTCTTAACTACAGCTACTTTACCTCTGAGGACAAGGTGGGGAAAGAATGTGAGTAGGCAAAGCCAGAGCATTGTTTAGCAGGCAGCAGGAAAGGAAAACTAGGAATATTTATGTATTCATCATTTTTTATTCTGTCTCAAGGATGTTGTTTACTGTAGAGGAGGTTCAGTAAGGCACACTGAAAGCTCGGAAGTGAAGGGATCCATGGGTTTATTAAGGGAAGCACATAGCAGTATGTGGATGAAAGTAGAAGACAGATGATGACTCAAGGAGCCTAAGTTTTAAATGGTGACCGTGGGTGGCAAAAATGTTGAGATGATTATTTTTTAGCAGTTTATTGATAGATGGTGTACTCAGACCTTAGGAGTCTGGTGTGGCAAGAATAGAGTACACTTTCAAGAGAGGAAAGCCTTTGATGTAGAAGCCTTTGATCTCTTTATCCTCTGTTTGGTACCAAAAAAATCCTGATTGGCACTTAGTAAATGTTTATTGAAGAAATGAGTTATGTTATATGACTTCCTATGTATAAATATTAGATTCCAATTTTAATAGTAGACTTGTTTTGTTGTTTGAAAAGTTTGTGCGTTTGCTACTATACTCGAGGTACTTCTTTTTAAAGTAAGAGCTGTGGATTTCTGCTCTACATCCATTGCCAATTCTAGCATCATGTTTATGTTAACAAAATTTTATACATTAAATTATTTTGTTCTAACCTTCTTGACAGAGACTGTTAAACATTAGGCCTAGTAAATATAGCATGTAAACCATAGACCAGGATTTGAAATACATTGTTGCCCTAACTTTCAAGGATTTAAAACATGAAATAAGTTTCTTTTATTTAACAAAATTGCCCATGCTTGTAGTTCTAATGTATAGTAATAAGAATGTGGGGCTTCCCTGGTGGCACAGTGGTTGAGAGTCTGCCTGCTGATGCAGGGGACACGGGTTCGTGCCCCGGTCCGGGAGGATCCTACGTGCCGTGGAGCGGCTGGGCCTCGTGAGCCATGGCCGCTGAGCCTGCGTGTCCGGAGCCTGTGCTCTGCAACGGGAGAGGCCACAACAGTGAGAGGCCCACATACCGCAAAAACAAACAAACAAACAAAACAAACAAAAAAGAATGTTAATTTTCTCAAGACTCTTTAACTCTTAATGTCAATAAGATATTGCTTGGTAATACCCTTGAAATGATAACTCCATTCTATCATAAAATCACCTGAACTTTAAGACATTATAACTGACATTCTAAATATATTCAATTTACTAACCATCATGCTAAGTGCTATACTCTGAAGAAGGTATCATTATTTTAGTTATATAGATGAGAAAGTAAAGTACCAAAGAAATTAAGTAATTTTTCAAAAGCCACTTATAACCCATAGTCAGAATTTGAATACAGGTCTCTCTGACTACAAAGTCCATCTTTCCACTATGTCTAGTTTTCACTCACTGTATGACATGACATAACATGACATAACATAATATACACATGTATATGTAATACATGTTTATAAAGCAATCCAGAAAATAACAAAAAGCTATGACATAGTCTGTAATCTAACAACCCAGCGATAATCGCTGTCAGCATTTTGGTGTACACTCCTTGATTTTTCTTTTTTGGTACGCACACACTGTAAAGGAACACTCTGTTGTTTTTATTTACATTTTACACACAGTACTGTCTGCACAGTAGTTCACTTCTGACATTAGATGTGTGGGTTTTCCACACATCAAGCAGTTCTCCCACACTAGCTGGGTGTCCTATAATTTAACTCAATTCTGATGCTATCTAACTGGACATAGCATCAGATCTCACAGGTTGAGGGTTCAGTCCTGCACGATGGCTCCCCATACTCCCCAGTCCAAAGTCCATGTGGTTACTTGTGCTTCTGACCTACAGGCTGTAGATCAGAGATTTCCACCACCCCCTCCTCTGATTCAGTTGCTTTGCTAGAGCAGCTCACAGAACTCAGGAACAGCCCAATGAAAGAGATGTGTAGGGCAGGTATGAGGAAGGGGGCACGGAGCTTCATGCACTATACAAGAATGTACCACTCTCCCAGCACGTCCACTTGTTTGCCAACCTGGGCACTGTCTAAACCCCATGCTGGTTTTTTGTGAAGGCTTCATTACTTAAGCATGATTGATTAAATAATTGACCATTGATTTTTTTTTTAATTGAAGTATAGTTGATTTACAATGTTGTGTTAATTTCTGGTGTACAGCAAAGTGATTCAGTTATTCTTTTATATATATATATATATATATATATATATATATATATATATACACATGTCCTTTTCTATTATGATTTATTATAGAATATTGAGTATAGTTCTCTGTGCTGTACAGTAGGACCTTGTTGTTTATCTATTTTATGTATAGTAGTTTGTATCTGCTAATCCCAAACTCATAAGTTATCCTTCTACCACCCCCTTTCCCCTTTGGTAACTATAAGTTTGTTTATGTCTATGTCTGTGAGTCTGTTTCTGTTTTGAACATAAGTTCGTTTGTGTTACATTTTAGATTCTACATATAAGTGATGTCTCGTGGTATTTGTCTTTCTCTTTCTGACTTAATTTCACTTAGTATGATAATCTTTAGGTCCATCCATGTTGCTGCACATGGCATTTTATTCTTTTTTATGGCTTAGTGGTATTCCATTGTATATATATACCACATCTTCTTTATCTGTTCATCTGTCCGTGGACATTTAGGTTGCTTCCATGTCTTGGCTATTGTAAATAGTGCTGCTGTGAACATTGGGGTACATGTTTCTTTTTGAATTAGAGTTTTCTCCAGATATAAGCCCGGGAGTGGGATTGTTGGATCATATGGCTGTTGATGATTGATTCAACTTCCAGTCCCTTTCGCTGGAGGTCGGGGGTTGGGAGGTGAGGGTATGAGACTGAAAATTCCAATACCCTAATCTTGGTTGGTTCCCTGGCAACCAGCTCCCATCCTTAGGTTTCCTAGGGGTTTTCCAAAAGTCACCTCATTAACATAAACTTAGGTGTGGTTGAAAGGGACTTGTTATAAATAACAAAAGACACCTTTATCTTGTCACTTAGGAAATTCCAGTGGTTTTAAGGAACTCTCTGCTCTACTACAAAAAATATGTATTTCTTATTATAAATCACAGTACAACACACACATACCCGTAAGAGTCCCTATCTAAAATTAGTCGGCTTCTGTTTATGTATACTTAAGAAAAATCTATTCTGATACTTGCACAGTATCAGAAATGGGAAGAGAAGCATATGGTGAGAATTCTATATATTTTATATACCAATGGCTTCCAAATGCTGATTCAAGTGCTGGTCATAATAAAGTTGTTATTGGTTCAAGATGAAATAAGGAAAATGTAGTGAGATGAAGATGAATTTATTCAACGTAAATGACTGTCTTATTCTGAGTTTTAAAAATTTATTTGGAGAATATAAATGTTTATTCTTCTATGAAATGCTGGTAAAACGGTGGTCTGTTGTTGTAGTTGATGATGATGTTACTTTTCCATATTTTTACTTTGCAAAAAACAACAACAAAGCAATGATAATCCTATATTGTTTCCTGCCCCAGTTTTTAGAAGATTTATTAACTGCTTTATGAAATTTTCATGACTTATAAGTGACTGCTGCTGATCATCTTACCCAGCTCCTTGTTAATTAACAACAAAAGTATTTGATCCAGTGCTATTTGACCTTGGTTTACATTAGATACATTGTGTTTTCACCCTTATTTATTGAGTACATTTTATTTTTCATTCTCAGTACCTGGTTATGGATTATTATGTTGGTGGGGATTTGCTTACTCTACTAAGCAAATTTGAAGATAGATTGCCTGAAGATATGGCTCGATTTTACTTGGCTGAGATGGTGATAGCAATTGATTCAGTTCATCAACTGCATTATGTACACAGGTGAGTAAGATACAGTGAAGGAACGGATTGTATAAATGTCAAAAAGAGATGTTTCTGTAAGAAAGTGTGATTTTAATGGCCATGGAATACTTTCTTCTTTGTAAACTGTTTGACAGGTATAATGATTTATTTAAAAAATTTCCTACAAATGTGTTATTTTGTATACCGTTTAAGATGGAATGAAGAAAAAAAGCAGGCCATTTACAAAATGATTTTTGTGTAGGATTGTTCTTATGCCTGTTGACACATATTAAAAATCTCTGCCTCTGTAAACATCTCATAATAATTTATGTGTAGTAAAAAATGTTAAAACTTATTGGATGTTTTAAAAGGCAGTCTCACATTTTAAAAAGAAAGAAAGTAGGAAATCCTCACAAAGTTATTGGTGAATTAATCACTCAAATGAGAAAATCTTTGGGTTGTGCAAAATGTGAGAAAGAGTAAAGAGACACTAAGGAGAAGCAGGGAAAGGGAAGGGATCCTGGCATGTTGGAAAGAAACCACCATTTTCTAAGACCATAGTTTGAAAACTTCAGCATGTATCAGAATCATATGGAGGGCTGTTAAAACTCCAGAGTGGGCTTCCCTGGTGGCGCAGTGGTTGAGAGTCCGCCTGCCGATGCAGGGAACGCGGGTTCGTGCCCCGGTCCGGGAAGATCCCACGTGCCGCGGAGCGGCTGGGCCCATGAGCCATGGCCGCTGGGCCTGCGCGTCCGGAGCCTGTGCTCCGCAACGGGAGAGGCCACAACAGTAAGAGGCCCGCTAACCGCAAAAAAAAAAACAAAAAATAACTCCAGAGTTTCTGATTGAGTAGGTTGGATGGGTCTGGGGACTTGGCATCTATAACACCTTCCCAGGTGATTCTGCTGCTTCAGCTTCTGCCCCTGCTGGTCTAGTGACCTCACTCGTGATAACTTGCGCTGGAAGACAGCAATGGCTCTTTGTTTTTTGTTTTTTTTTTGCGGTGCGCGGGCCTCTCACTGTTGTGGCCTCTCCCGTTGCGGAGCACAGGCCCTGGACGCGCAGGCTCAGCGGCCCCGCCCCCAGCCGCTCCGCGGCATGTGGGATCTTCCCGGACCGGGGCACGAGCCCGCGTCCCACACATCGGCAGGCGGACTCTCAACCACTGCGCCACCAGGGAAGCCCGGCTCTTTCTTTTTGAGTTGTGGGTAGTGAGAGTAATCTCTGTGAAGAGCAAGAATGTAGGAAGAAGAAAAATTTTCTGCTTCAGAGTTTGTTTTTTTAAGATTTGGGTATCTTATGCTGATTGATTTAATTAGTAGTGAAGTTTTAGGACATTATTAAAAGAAGAATAATTTGGTTAAAAAATTTTGTATTTTTCAGATCTCAGTTTGACTTTTCCTATTCACATGCTTTTTTCTCTGTCGATATCTGATAGTCACAAATTTTCTTGAAAGCAAAAACATGAACATACTTTGAAAACTGTATAGCACAATGCAGTTTTTAAGATGGTATTGTTGTCTCAAGAGTGAATTATTTGGATGAGAAACTAAAGTACTGTTTTGTTGCTTAAGCAGTAAGCCAAGATCCTAGCTGAGGACTGTCATTTAAAAATACTTTAAAAGAAATCACTTCATTGAACATTTAAAGAATGCTAGTCTTAGACTCGTGGAGCTTAAGAGAAACCTTACTCAGTTCACATCTAAATTCACAACAAGGACTTATTATTTCTGAAAATAATTCATCTAGATTAGAGATAGTAAATATGAGGTATTTTTGTTACCCTCCCTTCTGCCAGGCTGTGACAAATATTCTTAACTGATCACAGGACTCCTTCCCACTGACTATGTATGCAGTCTTATAATTCTTCCCAGGACAGCATTCTGGGTAACAACTATCTTTCCGATATTGAAATGTGGATTGTAATCCATTTCAGCCCTGCGTGCTGCTTGAGTACCTCTAATTTTACAAGGTACTTAATGTTAAATGAATCCTATTTATTCCATTGTTGGACAGCTCCAATGTTATAGAATTTTGCTTTATGTTAAGCTGAATTTCTTTTTCTCTTAATCATTGGTCGTAGTTTTGCCTTCAGAGCCACATATAATAATAGAGTTTATCTTATAGTCATCATGCCTTCTGAAGTCATCTCTTTAGGTTAAACGTCTAAACATTTATAGTGTCTCTTGTCAAAATCGACAAACACATTTTCTCTCCCACTGTCTCACACACGTGTGCACACACACACACACATACACACACACACACACACACTCTTAGACTGTGACCAATCCCACACCTCTTCTTCCTCCCTTCTTGTCTTTCCCTTTGCCTGTCAGTGGACGTATTCTGATGCATCGATGTGCTTCTTAAAATGTGATTCCCATTTTCTGGATAGAATATTTTCAGCAAATGCTTTACTGAGGAAATATTTATTGAGTCCTCTTTTATAAATAGCATTGTGCTAAACTATGTGAAATTGTAAGTATGTATAGCATGCAGTCCTGACACTGAAGATGCTTCCAGTCTGTTGGGGGACACAAAACACAAGACATAAACAAAAATTTTGTTTAGAGTAGTGAAGATTTTTTTAAAGATAAAAACAAGCTTATTTTAAAGTGTATATGGAAAGGCAACAACTAAAGTAGCTAAAATGATTTTGAAAAAGGAGAATAAATTAGGAAGGATCACTCTACCTGATATTAAGACTTACTATATCACTATCTTAAGCTTAAGCAAGACTCTGGTAATGGTGGAGGAATAAACGCATAGATCACTAGACAAAATAGGGGTCCCAGACAGAGACTAACACGAATAACTCCCAACTGATTTTGACAAAGTTGCAAAAGCAGTTCAGTGGAGGAAACATAGTCTTCAACAAACGGGCTAGAATAATAGGCAAAATAACCAAACTTCCCTAAACCTCACACAAATACAAAAAAATAATTCAAAATGGATCATTGGTTTAAATGTACAGTGTAAAAGTATAAAAGTTTTAGAAGAAAACAGTGGAGAACATCTTCTGGACTTTGGGTTTGGTAAGGAGTTTTTAGATATGACACCCAAAACATGGTCCCTAAAACAAAAACTAGTGAAGTGGACTTCATCAGAATTAAAAATGTGTTCTACATAAGATTCTGGTAAGAAGATAAAAAGGCAAAGCTATAGAAGGGGAGAAAATATTTGCAAACCACACATCTGACAAAGGCCTTATATGTAGAATATGTTAAAAAAAAACTCTCAAAACAAAATTTAAAAATCTTGAACAATCCAGTTATAAAATGGGCAAAAGACATGAACAGACATTTCACCCAAGGGGAGATAGAGATGTCAACTAAGCACATGAAAAGATGTTCAACGTCATTAGCCATTAGAAAAATGCAGATTAAAACTACAATGAGATATCAATGAGAAGGTATTAGAATAACTAAAATAAAAAGTAGTGATAATACTAAATGCTGATATGTGGAGAAAGTAGATCTCTCACACATTGCTGATAAGAATGTGTACAGCTACTCTGGAAAACAGTTTGAAAGTTTAAAAAAAAATTAAACATGTACTTACTGTGTGACCCAGCAATTACATTTTAAGGTATTTATCCCAGAAAAATTAAAACTTATATTCACAGAAAAACCTGTACATGAATGTTCATAGCAGCTTTATTTATAATAGCAAAATGCTGGAAACAGCCTAGATGCCCTTCAGTGGGTGACGGTTGAACAAACTCTGGTATATCCATGTAATAGATTATTACTCAACAGTAAAAAAGAATGAATTACTGATACATGCAGCAACCTGGATGGACCTTAAGGGCATTATGCTTAGTGAAAAGAACTAAAACTCAAAATGTTACATATTGTATGGTTCCATTTATGTAACATTCTTGAAATACCAAAACTACAGAGATAGAGGACAGATTAATGGTTTCCAGGGGAGAGGGGCAGTTCGGAAGAGTGTGGGGAGTGAGAGGGAATATAAAAAGACAGCATGAGGGAATTCCCTAGTGCTCCAGTGGTTAAGACACCACGCTTCCACTGCAGGGGGCACGGGTTCGATCCCTGGTCAAGGAACTAAGATCCCACATGCTGTGCAGTGTGGCCAAAAAGGCAGCAAGAGAGAGTTCTTTTTTGTGGTGATGGAACAGTTGTGTATCTTGATTGTGGTAGTAGTTACACAAATCTGTGAGTGGGATAAAATTACATGGAATTACATACACATACACGAAGGTTGAAGCAAAGGATAGAAACTGACTAAGGTCTATAATCTAACATTAATGTACAGGTGTCAGTTTCCTCATTTTACTATTGTGCTACAGCTATAATATGTTATAGTGAGTAAGGGAGGGAGCTGGGTAGAAGAGTACATGGGACTCATTGTACTGTTTTTGCAATTTGCTTTGAGTCTGCAATAACTTCAAAATAAGATTTTAAGGAAAAAAGTAACTTGATTACTTGCTCTTCTGAAGTCTGGAAACCAAACCCAAGAAGTTCTTTATGTTACGTATGCAGTTCTTATAAACTTTGGTGAATTCCTCAAGATTGACATACTTGCTTAGGCTCCTGGCCTGCCAGGACGTGATTTTTCTTACCACCAATAAGGCTGGTATCTGTAATTCAAGTATGTGGGTGCCATTAACACATAGATGATATGCAAGTCATGGGGTAAGCTGAGTTCACTCTGTGAAACAGAGTCAGTATTGAAGAGGATCCAGGACTGAGCCCTGAAGAGCTCCAGTTTCTGGAGACTTGGTGGAGTAGGAGTAGTCAAGGAAGCGAACTAAGAAGGAACAGCCAGAGGTTAGGAACAGCCAGAGGTTAGGAGGAAAATAATGAGAGTGTAGATAAGGTGTCTTATGGGAAATAAAAGTAAATCATCTTTCCCTTTATATTTAATTACATTAGTGTCCTAGGTGATACATTTCAAGCAAACATTTAATAATCTCTTTTTCCTGTGGATACTTCTGTCCCGGGTGTTGGGGGCAGCTGTAAGATATCCCTTGCTTTTATGTTAAGTAATATAATATGCTCTTTACTTTCAAT